ATAGATTCTTCTTCTTAACCCATTTTTATCCACCCGCCATTCCCAACCCGACAGCTCAAGAGTAGAAAAACACATATATATTTCATGTGTCAACATTGAGGGGGGGTCCCACAATATCCAGGTTCTTCAAAGGACCCAAGAAAACCTAAAAATACATCTTTTCCATGGTTTTCTCTTCATTTTCTTATATATAAACCCTTCCCACTTCAAACTTCCCATTTGTTCCATACATTCCCTCCCATTAACAAAAGTAGAATAAAACTTATTGTTTCATTTTTCACAAAAACCTATCATCACATACATAACAACATTTTTGTTATATAATAATAATAAAAAAAAAGATGTCCGGTGTGTGGGTTTTCAAGAATAACGGGGTGATGGAGCATGCACTCCCCATGAAAAAGAAGGCTCTTGTACACTTGCCGACTGGTCAGATTGTTTCGTCTTACATATTTCTGGAGCAAATACTAAAGGGTTTAGGCTGGGAAAGGTATTCTGGTGGCGATCCTGATCTTCTCCAATTCCACAAGCACTCATCTATCGACCTTATTTCTTTGCCTAAGGACTTCGCCAAATTCAACTCCATTTACATGTATGATATTGTCATCAAGAATCCCAGTATCTTTCACGTGTGTGAGACGTAGAGATTTTGTCATCGGTTAAATTCATTATATTCAAGTCCTCAAGAAAAAAAAAAGAAAAAAAATGATAGTGCTTTAGATTTGTGTTTAACTCTTGCTTATCCAATCTAGATATTTCTATCTATTTGGAATTTAGCTTTGGTGCGACTTGAGTTGTGTGCCTTTGTGGTTAATTAGTTTCTTTTTTCACATGTAAAATACACTTAATGCTTAATGTAATTTGTCGGAGTTGGTGTTAGTTTTTACGGTTTATAGTCGAATGTGTATCAATGAAATTATTGTAGATATTAATAAAATTATCACATAAAATTAATCTTGTAATTTATTATAATGTATATCAATGAACTTATTGTAGATATTAGTAAAATTATTTAAGGATACAATATTTTTGATCGTATCTGATTTGATTTTATTTGAAAACGTGTATATGAAAGCACATATATTTAAAAAGTTTCTAAAAAGGTATGCATTAAATGCTTCCATAATTTTTTTACTACTATTTTTAGTAAATAATTATTCTTATTATATATACTAGTACGGTGCTCGTGCGACACACAGGAGCATTTATTACCTATTTACTTTTTAAAAGGTATTTTCTTTTAAATTGTCTCATGACATAAAATATCATGAAAATGAAATTTATATGTTATTGAACACTTCCTTATTTACAACATTATTGATTGTCTATATATAGTATGTCACTTTACTTATTTTTTTTGGTCAAAGTTATAAATGATTTAAACAAAACCTTTTTATTTTATATATAGATTTTTTAATATGTTATTTTGTTTTTCTTTCCAATTTCGTTCTTTCATTTATTCAAATATTTGTTGATCCAAATATTATTTGATAAGCTATTTGGGTCGGGCAGCATAATTGGACCCAATGTGGTAGACCAAGCCCATTTGTCGCTGATGTCCATTCCCGTGCTGAAAAGGTCAGGCCCATCAAATCACACACGTGCGAACCAGAGATGCTCAGATAATGATAGAGAAAAAAATCGATCTAACAAAAAGAAAACTGGTGAACCTCAGAATTCACTCGGGTAGTAACTCACACTTGAAAGTTGAAACCCTAGGATTAACAGTCTTCATCTGATCCGGAGAAAACTATGGCTGACGAGAAACTGATCGCTTCGCCAGAAAATGGTCCTGCTGCACCTGCTGCCACCCTCACCTCCGACTCCACCGCCGCAGACGGCCACAAGAGGAAGCTTGGTGATCTGGAGCTCAGCAACGTGGCAGAGCCAGTCTCGAAGTCCGAGAACAACGCGAACCCTGACACGCTGAATAATGAGGCGCAGGAGGAGGAGGGGAAAGGGGGAGAAGATGAATCCGAGTCTAAACGACGGCGTTTGGAGAGTAATGGAGACAACGTCACCGAGGCCGAGGCCGATGGTCTAGGTGATTTCTCTGCATATACCTTATTTTCTTTATGCTCAATGTTTCTGCCATTTCTTTTTGTTTTCTGAAACTTGTGCATTGGGCTAAGTCAGTACAAATTGAATTCTTTGAGGTGAAATGCGAAGTGAGTGCATTATGAAATGGTACAAGTTTAATTCTTTGTATTAGGGATTTATAAGAAATTGTAAAAGATCAGTTCTTTGAGGTGGAAGATGGTATAAAATGCGAAGTGAGTGCATGATGTTGCAAAATACAAAGTAACATTTGTGTGGAGTGATTATATGTTTTTATTTGCATCTATATCACTCTTTCATCGCCTGTTACTCATATATGGCATCAGAAATTAGTTTTCTTTTAATACACCATACATGCATTTTAGTTTAAGGGTATAGTTGGACGTTGTTGAACGTTGCTGTACCTTTTTGCATAAATATTACTATCTTCTGAAACGTTGGTGTACTTATATTTGTCTAGTGATGTGATTTATTTTGTGAAAACTTGAGATTGGAAGATTTCTCATTTGTCTGCTATTGATACACTGATAAACTTCCTTGGCAGTGTCAGGTAATGGTCACCAAGAGGAGGAGAAGAAAGATGAGACTGAGAAGGTTGAACCTGTGCAGCCAGAGTCTGCTGATGCTAATGTAGAACATGTGGAGAATCAAGAACCTCATAAAGAACATATTGATCAAGAACCTCCTGGAGCACCTCTCGAGACAGTTACTCAAGAACCAACTTCTCATGAGAACGAGAAAACTGAGCTCAGCAGTTTGGATGAACTAGGTAAACCAAATGCAGAAAATGATGAACCTTCTGAACTTCCTAGAGAGGGGGATGTCCCCGTTTACTCTGCTGAAAGGCAGTCTGGCTCGGGCAGGCAAATACTGTCTCGCAAAATGGAAGTTCCAAATGACAAGGTAAATTGGTTGAGTAGTCTGACATATTAATGTGCGTATATTCTTTTTATTTACCTTTGAACTTCATTATCTAAGTTAATGGCAGTTAATTTTTTTTTATTTTTTTTTAATTGCCCTTGAAATTCTTTTGAAGAATGGTAACAGGAAATTTAGAATTCAGAATAAAATTCCTATCTATTTAACTATAAAAATGTCAAGAATCAAAGATTCTCCTGTGGACCTGTGCCTTCTCTTTCCTGTGGCTCACTGGGTTCTTGGTCTCTTTTGATCCTATCAGTTTTTTCTTTTTAGAATCAGTGCCCAATTGTCGAGGCATATTTATACTGTGTTATTTTGTGGAAGATATTCTTCATCCGCAAGATAAATACATTTTTGTGAAATGATTTCCGATGTGCTTCTACTTCGTGCAAAGTTTTCCTACGTGCTTCAATTTCGTGCAATATTGAGATAGGTTGTAAGTTCCAAAGAGATGGTAGTTGAAACTGGAGTTAACTTCTGAGTCCTATTATGGAAATTATATATATTAGAAAAAGCTATATATTGTAATTGTTATGTGTCTCTAGGTTGGGGTCCTCATTGGGAAAGCAGGGGAAACTATTTGTTCCCTGCAGGACAATTCAGGGGCCAAAATTCAGATTATGAGGGATGCTGATGCAGATCCACGGTCTACCACAAGACCTGTGGAAGTAGTTGGAACATTGGAAGATATAAACAAGGCTGAGAAGTTGATAAAGGATGTAATTGCTGAGGTGGGGGTTTTTGTACAGTTTGCAGTTATTCTTTCTTACAGAATTCATTTCTGTATTCCTTTGTTTCCCATGCAATAGTATGAATGAATCTGACAGTGACTTTCCAGGCTAATGCTGGAGGTTCGCCTTCTCTTGTTGCTCGTGGATTCAACACTGCGAAGGCTGCCAGCAGTGGTGAACAAGTTGAAATTCAAGTACCAATTGAGAAGGTATGATTTATACATCATCTTTTCGGCTGTCATTTTCTAATATCATTGCCTGTGGAAGATGGTATAACTTTTTGTTGTTTTAGGTTGGTTTAATCATTGGGAAGGGTGGAGAAACAATTAGGAACTTGCAGACCAGATCAGGGGCACGCATTCTGGTAACTGAAGTTGTTTACGTTAGTTTTTATGCTTTAGCTTGCTGAATCTGATGGATGAAGTCCACCTTTTTCTTCTGGGTTTAGTTGATACAACAAAACCTTTCTGATGGAGAACAACCTAAGGAAAGGACTGTCCGCTTCACTGGAAATAAGTGGCAGATTGATACTGCAAGGGAAATGATAAAAGATGTTATGAATCAGGTTTGTCTAGATTTGCTTCTTTCTTAGTAAGCATTTTGACAGTGTTGCTTACAGTTTTTTCCCTTCTCGACTTAATTGAACGATGGTGCCATGTAATAAACATTTATTGTTTTACTTGTTAATATTGCTATTCCTTTTTATGTGCTAACTTGTTTTTCTTGATTCTGTTTATTTTGAGATGCAAATAGTTTCACTTCCTAGTTCTCTTATAAACTGCTAATGACTCTATTTATTTGCCTCATCCAAAGTTTGATGCATGTCGCAGAAATTGCAGCTATAATAAAGTACTTTGAGCTGCATGCTGGTTCATGTACTTCTAATAAGTGGAGTTGTTCTGCAATATTTAGATGTATACCATCGGTGGTGGCCTGTAGTAAAATTTGTGGACTATATCTTGGCCAAGACTGAGACTTACATTTTCTTTAACTTTTTTATTGATAAGATGAGTGAATATTGATATCTGCCTCACAGGCTAGGACCAGGCAAGTTTCGATATTATGCCTCTCTGACATATTTTATTTGATTAAGATTTTAGTATATCTGTAGCATAATTGGCTGCAAGGATTTTACTTTCTTCCATTGGATTGATGAAGAATATCTTGATTGACCGGCAATCACACTATCATAGGATGGTTTAACTGGATCCTCATGTTATATATAATTAACTGATGCCTATCATGTGATGAGAAAATGTTGACACGATTACTGAGGGGTTTATTATTCAATCCTATGACAAGATCACTTAAGTGCTGCTAGGAAGGTCTTAATTCCAAATAAGTTGCCGTGATTTATGTGTCTTGAAGGTGCCAATTTCGAATTGGTTGACTCAACAAATGCAGATTTGCCTTTTCCTTTTCCTTCCAGTTCGCATTGCCTTCTTGGTGTATCAATAGACAACCACTATCACTTGCATCATCAGAAGAGAGGTTTCAAGCATTAAACCTCATCATTGCAGGATGTTAATGGTTGGTAAGATTGCTTGAGACTTAGAAACTGATAGTAGTGCTACTAATGAGGCTATGTGGCATGATATTAATATTTGAGACATCCAAATGGTGCCCCTAGTGGTGAAATAATCCATGAAGTAGACTGCTTAATCAATAATTCTGCTAATTGCTTGACTGTCTTCTAATTGGGTTCCTTCTGAAAGGTGATGGCATCTTGATATTTGACATGATTTGAAAAAATTATTGTATCTAATGCTATCCTCTGACTTCCGACACTAATATCCCATCCTGTGTAGCGCTATAACCATTGTCAGATGAATTGTTTGCTTGAAGATCTTGTTATTGGAGAATCATGTAATTTCTTGCTTGAAGGTTCAGCAACACATTGAAGAATTATAAGAGTGCGTGAGGTTTTTGGGAACTCCTATTTGCAAGATAACGTTTGCATTAGATTTAATCATATCAACAAATGCTTAATTATTAGATGCAAATAAGGTTTAGTCTGGACCTTATGTTCGTAGTGAAACTTCTATTGTGGTTTGGCAATGCCTTAGAATTTTCACTTATCTTTTGCATCTTATATCCCATTATAATTCATTTGGTTTCTTATTTCATATATTTTGAACTGTAATTTTGTTGCTTGAGCCCTTAATTTAGCCTGTGGCTTTATTCTAAGCTGCATTTCCTATTACCGTTGTTTATGTTGATATTTGGATATTATGAATGTGAATTATTATTTAATATTTATACATTGTATGTTTTGATACTTAAAATTGTTCTCATATATTAATGCTATTCCTGAGCTGTTTATCATTTCAATGGCCAGCAGTTACATGCCTCATCTGTTTGTTGATAATACTTCATTTCCAAAATTTGCTTGTGGTACTTTTTTTAATCAGTAGACTCCACTGCTCATAGTTTTAAGCTAAGCGGTGAGTTCATGAGCTATTACAGCTTGTACCTAAATGTTCCTTGTGGAAGTTCCACATTGTTATTGTATCTTCTTTTATAGCTAGCTACTCTTTCTAACTCAAATTCTTGATTTAGACTGTTAGGTCTTCACCTCTCTCTGGCGGATACAGCCAGCAGGGCTATCGTCCTCCACGTGGGCCCGCTGCTCCACAATGGGGACCTCGTGGTTCGCATCATGCACAATGCTCTGGTTATGATTTTTCACAAAGAGGGACATATCCTTCTCAAAACTCACAATATCCACCTTCATCATATGGTAATTATCCTCCGCAACAGCCTCCGAGAGGCAACTTTGGTCCACCAAGTTGGGAGCAAAGGCCGCCAGCATCAATGCATGGACCCTCACCCCAGGTTGATCATTTATTCAGTATCTTTTTTTTTTTTTTTGCTTTTATTTATTTACTTACTTACAATCGTAATTGCAAAAACCACCCCTGGATCTGGGAGGGTAATCGCAAGAAAGAACCCATAAAAGTTTGTGATTTCTCTCAAGAACCCCTGTTGTTTGATTTAATTTAATTGGATACTATATTGGTTTGGTATTATTGAAAAATTTTCTGCTCAGAAAGGGGGAAAGTTACAGGAAACAATCGAGCCTCGACTCCTCGTTAGTCTAACCTAGTGGTTTGGCACCCCTGTATTTGTTTTTTCTTCAACTTTTGTGCATTGTCTTGTTCTTTTTTTTTTTCATTTTTTCAATCAAATATCGAAGCTTCAATGGATGATTTTCGCAATTATTCCTCTTTACTCTCAACATTTGAGTACTCACCTTTTCTTGGCATTCCTTCCTTTCCAGGGCAATTACAACTACGGGCAGCAGCCTGGCCCAGAATACGGACATCCATCTTCATACTCTCAGCCGCCTCCCCAACCATACAACCATGGATACAACGAGGCTAAATACGGCAACCATGGTCCCCCACAGCATTATGGGCCTCAACCAACACCATACTCTCAAGGCGGTGTGCAGTCGGGCTACGGCCCACCATATGACCAACACGGTAAGCCACCCATGTACAGCATGCAGCAACAGCCACCGCAAGTCCCTCATTCTCAACCCTACGGCCAGCCCAGGCCCAACCAGCCTGGGGAAGCCCCTTATCAAGGTACATCGTCATCAGCCCAACCTTACGGTCAGAACATGCCACCTCAGCAACCATATCCTTATCCATCTAGCGGGCCCACGCAACAGACTTATCCTCCTCCCTATGGCTCTGCACCAACCAGCGAAGGATATGGCCACCCGCCTGCCACGGCACAATCCGGGTCCGGATATGGGCAGCCCATTGCGTATGGTCAAGCCGGGCCTCAGCAGCAGCAGCCGCCACCTGCTGCCTATTCTCAGGCAGGCCCAACTGGAGGCTACAGCTCGTATCCAGTGCCCCAGCCTGGCGGTTATGCCGAGCAACCAGCTCCTGCTGCTGCTGGTTATGGGTATCAACAGGTGCAGCCTGACCCAGCTACATATGGCGCACCCCAGGGTCCAGCTGCTGGTTATCCTACGACCGGTGTGGGCCAGGCAGGCGGCTATGCCCAGCCAGCTCAGGCCCAGGCCCAGGCCCAGGCCCAGACTGGGTATGATCAGTCGGGTGGATATGCGAATGTGCCGGCCCAGGTACCTGCAGGCGTTTCGCCTCAGGCTGGTTATGCACAGCAGTATGATGCTAGCCAGATATATGGTGGTGGGCATCGCTAAGAGATGTGGTGTTTGAGGAGATGATTTTATGGGCAGAGGTGAAGCGAGCTGCTGTTTCGAGTAGCTTGCAGTATGTTCTTTTCTTTCTGACAATCATTTTCCCAAACTGCCTAGACCTTGGAAAATGTTTTTAGAGATGGAATTTTTATTTTGGTATTTTGGCCTCTGTTAGTTAGAACTTGTAGTTTGAAGGTTTGTCTGAGTACTTTCATCTGTCCACGGCATGCACATGTAGGACCTGCGACACCAGGGCAAATGGCTGATTGTATCAATCACTTCCAACTTGAACTTACATTTAAATACAATTCTCTCACTCTCGCGCTCTCTTTGTGTGTGTGTGCGTGTGGGGGTTAACTAACTTGTATACAAGTCTTGTGCCAATCCTCATTTGGATCTAGGGTATGTTTGGTAAGCCAAATAAGCTAGCTTATAGCTTATTTGGTTAGCTTATAAGCTCCCTGTTTAAAATAAATCTCGTTTGGAAGGACGAGCTTTTTTAAAAAGCTCGAGCTTATTTCATAAGCTACTTTAGATAGCTTTTCAAATAAGCTAGTTGAATTTTTTATTTCAACTAGCTTATCAGCTAATTTACCAAACACCTTTTTATTATATAAGCTAGTTTTTCAGCTATAAGTCATAAGCTATAAGCTATAAGCTCAAAAATTACATATAAGCTATAAACTAGCTTATCAGCTATCAGCTAGCTTATTGGCTAGTTTTACAAACATAGCCCTAATGGTATTTCATGGCGAAATTTGAAGAGATAAAGTTGCAAATAAAATATGATTGTAAATGAATGTACTGGGTTCTATGGACTTGAAAATATATGTTTGTGAGCTCAGCTCGGGTCAGACGCTCAGATTCAAGCAGTTGTTGGAGGCGTACGAAACCCTCATCGACGACCGCAAGCGGGCGGAGTATAATCTCGGCAGAAACTCGTACGGTGCTAGTCAAAGTCAATATTACAGTCACAATCACGGCGGTGCGGACGTTGGCAGGGAAGCACTCGCGAGGTCGCGAGTGAGGTGTGGGCGTGAAGGCGCGGCACTCTCGAGCTCGCCGGAAAAATTCGCGAGGCGCGCGGGGGCAGGCAGCACGGGGCAACTAGGGTTTTGGGTTGTGCTGTAGGAGGGCTCGAATTGAGGCGGCAGCTAGGATTTTGGTCGGTATCCTGAGGGTTTTTTTAGGGTTGAGGTGCGGCGGCAAGCCTAGAGTTTTTTTGGCCGACGATGAAGGAAGACGGAAAGGTGATGGTGAGGAAATGTTTACAATGTCAGAAGCATGGTCCCGTTATCCACCAACCTGTAAAGACGATGAGAGACGCGAGGCTAGCGCGCAGCCGATCGTTGACTCGCACGCGAGCTGTAGCCGCCATCACCGGACGCCAAACTCACCATGCCAGTACGTACAACCAAACCTCGACCTTGCGGTTGGTCTCCGAACAGGTACACACACGCGTCCCATCCCTGTATGCGACTGTGCCGCTGATCGTGTGATACCGTTCGCTATTTCAGGCTTGCAGGTTTCCGGCGTTCCACCAGTGAGGACGAGAGGCGATCTACTCCAAACTGGCCGAGAATGGCCCGGTAATGAATTTTGGACCAGTCGATGTGATTTCCGAGATGGAGGAAGTCGAGGAGGTAGCCAGGGTGAAGGCGGCGACAGATGTCGGGTGTATTTGTGTTTTTTGTTCCATTGGGTAGTCAAACTTGAGCTTGGTTAACAGCGTTTAGTTAATGAAGCTCATCAAGGCTATAAAAAGGGATTTTTATGTAAATTTTTTAAGTTTAGTTAATGAGTCTGGCTCATGAAGGCTATAAAATGGGATTTTTATGTAATTCTTTATAGTTTGGTTAGTTAAGACGCGAGTACTTGTTAAGGTTCGACCTAGATTTGCTAATATTGACAAGAAAATTGTGTTGAGCTCTTGTAATTGACGAACATAATTCAACTCGGCCCAACTGAGGTTTGAATTTGAGCTCGAGCAAACTTGGTCCGATAGAGGTTTGAATGTGAGATCATATATTAGGAGCTCAAGCTCAATTCAAGAATATAACTCTTTCGAGTTATTACTCTACAATAATTAAGAAGTACAAGAAAAACAACAAATATAGGGAAATCAGTTTCGACGTCTATGTTAAATCCTTTGAGAAACGACAAAAAATAACTCTAGTTGGTATGCTTCTTTACTCGAAAACCCTAGCCAGAGACTTCGCGATCGGGACCTCATCACTCGAGTATTCTAAGATCACATGGCTAAACGAGCTGCCTCTGAGTTGTTTGAAATCTCACTTATCTTTACGTATTGAGATTGAATATCTCATTTTCTCTCACTCGTACACTCTCTACATCAATTTATATCAGTGACCAACCACGATCAACGATGCCTCCACGGAGATAAGATGCTGTAGACTACAGGCGTGACGCTGCCATCAACAACCTGAGCCGGCAGTACGAGGGGTTTGGTCGTCAGTTCGAGACGATGGGTAGTCAGATTGGGATCGAGGACCTTCGACTGCCTCTCTGTACCATTGTTCAGGGCGAGCACACGAATCGCGACATGGTCGGCGGGAGGGGCAGTCACGGGGGACTCCGCGGTGGGCGGGACGATGAAGATGGCGAGGATACCTTGTCGGAGGAGAACCCGTTCAGCGTTGGCCTGGCTCGACAGGAGGACGTCGACTTCATCGATCTCCGTTTTTGCGAGGACAGACGGGAGGCTGAGGGTTCGACCACC